TCATCTTAGGATAAGATAACGTCTGTGTCAGAACCAGACATCTTACTCAGATGTAAATACTTATCTATGTCTATGCGTTGGGAGTGCTTCTCCCCTTCACTTCAGATCTGGTTCTGACACTAAGAAATTGCTCGTCGGTCACTCGAAAATTTTTTGACTCTCTTCGCTCCTCATTGACATTCCTCACACCTTTCTGTGATGACTGACACACTCGCCAGTACCCCAGCGCAGCCTCCCGCTGCTGCTTCTCAGAACACCCAGAACCCACTAAACCCACAGCCTTGCGTCCCGCGAACTCACACTTCTCCAGCAATCATTCAATTGTTGAAAAATCTCTCTCTCCCTAATATTTTGCAAAAGAATAAGGGGATTGAGGCCGAAAATGATGCCAGATCTGCCAAGACCCTGAACAACGCTCTGGACCCAGTCGCTCATCCTCAACCGGGATCAGAAGTTGCTTCCTTGATCACCATCGATCCCGAGGATCTTGCCCGATTGAGGGTCCCTTCCTTTTTTGCTTCCGTTCGTGACTTTATTTACAACAGCCTTGCCCGCCATCTCGCTGATGAAGAACTGAGAGAAAAAGAGGAAAAGAAGCGGAAAGATGATGTTATTCTCCCAGAAGATGCCCGGGTCTCAAAGAGGCGTTGTATGGATGGCTCTAATCATGTTGAGAGGGTGGTTGGAGAGCCCATCCCCATTGAGTTCCCTCAATCTCTATACGACACTGAACTTTGTGTTGCAGTTCCTCTCCCCTTCTTTCTTACTCGGAACTTATGGTCTCTGGTTGACGAGGCTTCCACTTTGCCCACTGTCAAGTCTAATCCTGCCCTGGGGGAAACCAAGGGGACCTATATTCTAAATATAGAAAAGCTTTCAAACCGTTTTGGTAAAGAGTTAACCCTCACTTGTAGCCAATGGTCCGAGGCTGCCGCCAACATGTGGAACTTCCAGATCTCACGCGACAAGTTGGGTAGCGAAGGGGAGCATGCATCCTGGTTTGAAAAGCATTTTAATTTCTTTAATATGCTGTACAAGAGGGATGAACTGTACGATGCATGGAAGGTGATGGAGCTTGAGTTTCGTCAAGACCACCGAAGTCGTCACCTCAAGTTTAGCGCATCGGATTACGACAAGGCTTTAGGCTTGACTGAAGAAAGCCACAAATGGCGTAAGGAATTTCAAGAGATTCTTAATTCTTCCCAGACGGGCGCAGGACGATCTGGCCCTTATCGTGGCGGCACTACCCCTTCTTCTCAAAGGGTTCTGCCACGTGGTCCTTCCAACTCACAGGTTTATTCCCAGCCCTTTTCGCCAGGCAGCGGCAAGTCTTCCCCCTCCGCTGTCTGCCTCATCTGCGCGTACAAGGGGCACACCATCTTCTTCCACCTCAAAGTCACTTCGGCCAAATTCGTTGACGGGAAGGCCGTCTGGGCAAAATGTAGCCCTGGCTCAGGCCTCACCACCCCTGACAACCAGGCCCTTTGTATCAACTGGAAGGTTCGGGGCGCTGACGCCGCCTCCCAATGTGCCTCCCTCCACAAGGACGACCGCCTTCATCTCTGCTCCTTCTGTGGCAGCAAAGGTCACCACGCCCTCTCTTGGACTTGCCGCGCCAGCCCTGCTTGAGGAATTTTGGACTGTGGCGCATCCTCTCTCTCTTTCCTACACTGACTTCTCACATTCTGTCGTCCCTCGTCCTCCTCTTCCCTTTTCCACTATCAAGCATTCCTCCATCTTTGAGCGTATTTCACATCCTTATGATTCACATGCCTTTGACGTCCTCCTTTCGAAGCACGGCCTTACTTCTGCTTACCCCCTCCTCTCACAAAACTTGCGGCATGGTTTTCCTTTGGGACACATGCCTGCACTACCTGAACCAGTTATTTTGCCCAACAATCCCTCCACTTACCCTTATGCGCGCGAAATCCAAGACTATCTGCAAAAAGAACTTCTCGCAGGTAGGATGTCTGGGCCCTTTTCTCGTGAGGAAGCAGAGGCTATCCTGCGCGGTCCTTTTTTCTCCTCTCTGCTTGTTGTCGACGTCCAACCCCAGCAACACGGCACCCCCGACAAAATAAGGATTTGCAGACACTTGTCCAAAGCCTCAAAGTCATATCCTTCCGTCAACTCACATATCTGGAAGGCGGATTTCCCAACGCGTTTTGACCTGGCGTCCAAGGTGGCTGACATAATTGCTCTTGCCCCCCCTGGGACACAGGCTTGCACGCTGGATATTGCGAAATTCCACCACACATGCCCCGTCTTACCATCTCATAAGCCGTGGCTCGTCGTCCAGGGTCGTTGGGGTGAATTCCTGATTGATCATGCCCACCCCTTTGGTGCGGCCTGTGCCAGTAGCAACGCGGGCATGATTGCCAATGCTGTTGTTGACATCTGGCACGCCGAGGGTGTATTCCCTGTCCCCAAATACGAGGACGACCTCAAGGTCTTCCGCACCCCTTCACCCACTGGTACCTTTCATGATGGGGACTTCCTCTATGACTACGACCGTGCTGAAATGCTGTGCCGCATTCAGCCTTTGGGTGTTCCTTGGCACGAAGAAAAAGGAGACGACCACTTTCTCTTTGTAACTACCTTCATCGGATTCCGCTGGGACATCCCCGCCAAACTGGTCAGTCTCCCTGAGGAGAAGCGCTTGAAATTCCGTGAGTGTGTTCGGCGTTTCCTTCAGGACTTCCGGCGCCGTCCTTGTCATCTACTTGACGTTGAAAAGATTCATGGCTCGTTGTGCCATGTTGCTTTCGTTTACATGGACGGGCGTTCCCGCCTACCCTCCCTCTCGAACTTCGCCTTGTCTTTTCACAACAATGAAGTTTCGACAAGGCACCCTCCCCATTCTATGATGACAGATCTTGCTTGGTGGTTCCAGAAACTCAACGTTCAGGGCATCTCCTGCGCTTTGCGTCCGTGGGGCCCCCTCCAGGACCTGGGTCTTTATGTCGACACTTCTACTTCTTGGGGCATCAGCATCGTGATTGGACAAAACTGGGCTTCCTTCCAGTTGTCCCCCACATGGAAGGTTCCTGGCAGAGACATCTGCTGGCTCGAGACCCTCGCCATCGAACTTCTCACCTACTTTTTAGAAGGAATGGGTTTGCGGCACTGCCGCTTGCTTATTCACTCTGACAACCAAGGCACTATTGGTGCATTAGAGAAAGGACGCAGTCCTAACTCTCATATTAACCTTTTGGTTCGTCGTACTTATCTTGTCCTTTCCGACCTCTCTATCTCTCCAGAAATTGTTTATATTGAATCCATCGCCAATCCAGCTGATCCCATCTTGCGCAGAGAACCAGGGGCAGCTGGAAAGCAGCTTTTCCCAACTTTTAAGCTCCCAGCTGAGCTTGCTGACTGCTTCCTTGATGTTTAGCCTCAACCAAAAGCTTACTTCGTCGACTAATGTCGCCGAGAGGTCCGTGGGTGAGAAACCAACTCACAACTCTATCTCACCGCGCCCCACGCAGCCTCGAAATTCTTTCCACCCTTTCCAACATCCCCTTTCTGCTCCTGTTACTACTCCTCTTTCCTCCGATCATGTCTCTCCCAAGCTACTCTCTAAACCTAACTTCACCCCTTCTTCTCACCCAAAAGTATCTAGCCCCCTCACCTCTGCCTCGCGCATCATACGCACTCGAAAACCCCACACTGGTCGATCTATTACTGAAAATGACCTTCACCCACATGTCCCCACTGCCGAGCGCATTTTCTCTTGGCGTACGCCTTTTGGTGCTCGCCATCAGAGAGATGTAGCACTAAGGCTCCCTCCTCCTCTCGTCGAATCCGCCATGATGGCCGTCCGAGGCACTTTGGCACCAAACACAAAATCAACGTACGCTGCCAGTCCTTTGCGCTTCACCCAGTTCTGTGACAAGTGGGCTATTTCTGAGGAGGCTCGCATGCCTGCCGACTACGCACTACTATGCGCTTTCATCGGTGAATACAAGGGCCTCTACTCAGGCAATACCATCCGTTCCTGGCTATCCGGTCTGCGCAGTTGGCACATTATGAATCATGTGCCTTGGTACGGCGATGATGCTTGGGTTCATCTCGCGCGTACGTCTGCCAACAAAGAAGGCACCAAGCACAAACGTGCTCCACGTGCTCCAGTTTCCATCGAACACCTCTCTTGCCTACGCCGTGCTATCGACTTGTCTGACCCTTACCATGCTGCTATATGGGCCGTTGCCCTTGTTACATTTTTTGGGTGTCGACGCCTTGGGGAAACTACCCTTACAGTGGCGTCGGCATTTGACCCAAAATATCATGTCTTATGCTCCACGAAGTATGTTTTTCTTCATACTATTCTCTCTTACCGGCTGTATCCCTTACCAACTTCTTAGGATTGCCTTTCGCGTATTGCGTGACGGTGCTCGCTCTGCGAGTTTCGACATCCCTTGGACTAAGTCCACAAAAGAGCTTGGCGCCACCGTCA